TTTTGACAATGGCATCCCAAATCCCTCTTCCTAAAAACTAAATAAGGTTTTCTAATTAGCCTGTGTGGGAAACAAATGCCCAGCCACAGTCTCAGGGCCCTGTGCCAGCAAACCCCACCGTGGGGAAGGGAAGTCACATGTATTATGAAGTCTTTTCCCCAGGACAGTTATATATAGTATGATGACCTGCTAAGGAAAGCATATATGAAGTCATCTGCTCTCGCCTACACACATTGATTATAAACATTTGATTCACTTGCTGACTGTCCACAAAGATTATAAGGCAAGTGGCCACCATCCCTGAGTCATGAAGATCTTGTTGCACACTTCTAGTTCTTCTCCTTCCCAACCCTCGCCACACACATACCTGGGTGACATGCTCAATGTGATCTCAGGCCCTTGGCAGAGGCCATCTGGCCATCTGCCTTCAATTCTATCATTTCTACTTTCTTCATATTGCAGGTTGCCCCCCAAGAAGGGACATACAAAGGGGTCCATTCTATTTCCCCCTCCCCAGTGTACCTGAAACCTCAGACACTGGGCCCCCTAAGGGATCTTCTCAAAAATATCAATCAACACATGCTTCCATAGCCACTTGCCACCCTCAGGCTGTGTCTGTGCCCAAGAAGAAGATGCAGAGCCATTTCCCTAGGCTAGCCCTTCTTCAGAGGCCCAAGGAGAGAAGGGAGCAGAACTAGGAACCCACTGAGGCTGGAGGTGTAGCTCAGTGGTAGAATGCTTACCTAACTTGTGTGAGGCCCTGGGTTCTATCCCCAACACAAGAAGAAGAGAGGAGGAAGAAAAAAATACTAGCCATCATTCCAGCTGAGGGTGAACTTCACTGACCTCTATACAGTCTAAGAGACTCATTCTCTTCAAAGGGTGAATGGCTAGTGTTTGAGCTCCTCTAAGCACACTGAGAAGCTTGCTCCATTAAGGTCATTAAGTGGGCTGAAGAGGGAAAGGTAACAAGAGGTAAGAAAAAAAAGTCACTCATGGGAGTAGAGGGGGCTACCCAGGGAAGCACAGCATGGGTTACCCAGATACAAGCCATGCAGGGGTGGCAGAGGGACAGGAAGTGGGTGGGGTAAACAAAAGGGGCCAGAATTGGACAAAGGTAAAGCTCAGGAGGGTTTTGAGAATAGTATTGGAGAAGTCGTTTGAGCTGATACAAAATTTGTGAATACAGTCACCCTGATGTAGCAGTACGTTCCAGACTCTGGGGGACAATCCGTTGCCTGAGGCCTGGGGTTCCTGAGAACCAGGGCCACATGGACACACCTGCTCAGCCACTGTCAAGATGGCAGAGATGGGTGGGGGAGTTGACAGCCTGGAGAGGAGGAGAAAAGGGTAGGCTAGGCCCATCCCTAACTCCCTCTAGACGCAGAAGAAAGAGAACTTCTGCAACTTAAGGCAATGGGTTCGTGTGTCCTGATGAGGTTCCAGAAGAAAATAAAGAAGAGGAAAGATTCCCCCAAATCCTTGTTTCTCTAACTCTAATAGAGAGGCACTGTGAGTATGGACCCTAAGATGTCTCAAATCTGGCCCTGTCACACTAAGCCTCCAGAAAGCTAATCCATCGCCTAAAATCCCCCACTGGCCTTCCCCCTCAGTTCAGGGGCAGTCCAGTCTCTTTAGAGCCCTACCAAGGCCATCTCAGCATCCCTATACCACAGTGAGCAGCTCATTCTCCTCAGAGCCACAAGCCAAGTCCCACCTTCCCTTCCGAGCTCGGGCTGATCCCTCCCGCTCCCCGCAGAGCTGCCTTCCAGTGTCTTCGCCTACAGCCTGTGAAGGTGGGAGCTAGGGATTGTTCTGTCCCGATTTCTCAACCTCCTCACTCTGGCTCCCTTTTCCATCAACTCTGAACATACTCAAGGTACATGCCACCTTCCTCTTCCAGAGCTCCAAGCCTGGGAGGTGAATTGCTTTCTCAGTAACAGAGTGATGAACAGAAAGGCCACAACCTCATGAAATAAAAGAGAACTTCAGAAAGAAACAGCTCAGGCACAAGGGGTAGATAGATGGCTTCAATCACTGTCCCTTCCCCGGGGCCTTTGAGTGGAAACTGCCACCATAAATACAGAATTGCCCAAACTGACTAGAGTGTCTTCAGCCACCCTGTACATTCTCCTCCCTCCATGGTTAGCAAAGCCAGAGAAACACAAACTCTACAGCAAGAGTGTCACTCATTCATCTTTGGGATTGCCTGGGAGATCCCGAAGGGTCTCTGAACTCTCCTATGGTGATTCTCACTCCAACCCAAACATTCTTGTCATAAAGCCCCTCCCCTCCCAAGAATGAGGATAGACACTTATCCTATGTACGTATGTACACGCATGCACTTTAGTGCACGCACCACACACACACACACACACACACACACACACATTTAAAGATTGTCCAGCCAGACCCAGTCCCCTTTCAGAACTTCTCTTCTTCCTCCTACTTACAATTCTAGTTCCCAACTAATTCTAGAGCCACCATCAGATTGCAGAGGGAAAAGCCTCGCTCTTCCTCTCATCATCATCAGTAACAATCCCCACAGCTCACTTAACCTCTCCAACTGACAGCTGGGAAGCCAGCTCACAGAGCTGCACAGCTTGTCCAAGCCCACACAACTCTAGTGGCAGAGCTGGGGTTCCCACTTTGGTCTGATTCTTTGACACGACCCCATTGGCCTCCAGGAGAGACAGAGCTATCTGTTCTGCTCTCCTCCAATGTGTCTATGGGGCCTAGTGCAGTAAGAGACACAGAAAATACTCAAAACACAGGTGTAGAGCTAGAAGGCCAGGTGTGTGAATAAGCAGGTTCAAGTAAGGCCCCCTGGTCCCAATTCCAGCCACAGGGTGCATAAGAAGTGGTCACCTTACCAGCCATAGCTCTGTGCTACCACTGAGCCAGCGGGTGAGTTAGAAATGAAGGAAGCCGAGCACCTGGGGAGTCCCTTCAGCTTCCTTCACCTACAGTCTGCTTCCCCCTGTTCTGGAAAAGCCCCCTCCCCCCTGAGCACTACATCAGCAGTGGCACCTGCCCAACAGTGACCGTCCAGGGCATTCAGATAAATGAGCATGGATCCCACACTGAGAATGTGCACAGCCAGTCTCTAGGAAAAGCCACTTCCTTAAGAGCTCTGATCTCTCACCAAGGAGGTGCCAGTGTTACCCCTTCTGCAACCCCAGTCCTTGGGCTTTTGGGTCCCCCACCATGAGAAATCCTGAAACCCACGGGGTGACTGCCAGCCCCTACTCCCAGTGGGAGGGGCGGTTCCGAGAAGGACAGCAAGCAGAACCTGCAGACTCAGGCTCATTACAGAGAATGACTAAGTGAGCTGCGCTTCCAGGGGAAACCCCACTAGCTTCTGCTCACTGAGGGGCTCATTCTTGAGCTGTTTAGATTAAGGCAGCTTCCGAGGGCTCCCTGGACTAGGCAGAATACAAAGAGCAGCCTGGTCAGGAAGACCCTCGGCTTGCAAGTCTAGGTTCTGGCTATTCACATAGCCTGACAGGTCTGCCCCACCCTTCCCCAGGGCAGGCAGAGTCTGCCCATCCCCTGTTAAAGCTGAGCTGCTGGGAATGGGGGAAATCCGATCAGCATCTCCTAGGTTTTTGCGGCTGGATTTCAACAAGGAATGTGACAGTCTCGCAGCAGCTGTGCCCTGACTGAACAAGCTCTATTTGAAACCTCCAACAGCTGAACCCCTCCCAACTACCCGCCAGTCAACCCAGCCACCCCCTGCCCAACATGACAAATAGAGAAATCCAAGCAACAAGCAGGCACACGCGCACGCGGGCACACACACACACACACACACACACACCAAATTGGGGGTTTAGGGTATGGTAAGGGGAAGACACTTGTCCACCGACTCCCTAGAGCTCAAGCCTTCCAGCCCACAGCAGAAGGGCTCCCTAGCAAGCATATCATCCACAAAACCCACCTTCCTCAATTTCCATTTTCTGTGGGAGAAGCTCCCTCCCCTGACTTGAGGCCCCAACTGAGAAGCCAGAGCAGTGGGGTCAGTGCCCACCCACCCCCACCCCCAGCGACTGCACTCACACTACATTCATCCTTATCCCTGAGAAGGAAGGAGTTGAGGTGAGAGGGGAGAACCCAGGGCTGAACTGGGGGTGCAGGTTCCCAAGGACTGCTGGGGAAGCCCTGTCATTTCATCCCAAGAAGAGATGCCCTCCCTCCCCACTGAGGCCAAGGCAGCGCCCATCTGCTATGCCCGGGTAACACCTGTAGCCATTTTTATCAAGGGATGTTTACAAGGCAGCAGCAGGTTTATTCTGAGTCCTCTTTCCTGAGGGAAGGGACTGCTAATTTCCTCCACCTATATTTTTACCCTGATGCCTCTAGAGGCTCGGGTCACGGGTACTTCTCTATTTTGCCCTGAGTCTCTCTTAGAAGAGGAGGGAAATAGAAAGTTGGGAAGAAAGAGAGAGAAGACAGAGAGAGAAGAGACTTGGGGAATGGTAAAGAATCCCACCCCCAACCCAGACATTAATTTTTTTTTCTTATCTTAGGGAAAATGGAGTGGAGCTGGGAGGGGAGGGGAGGGGAGAAGGGGAAGTTGCAGGAACTGGCAAACCCATCTAGACAAAAAGAGTGTAATTAATTGGTGTGTTAAAGCTTCTGGGTTATGCTTTGGTTACGAGTGAGCAAGGAGGAAAAAATGATTTCTCAGAAGGGATTCTTTAATCCTCCTAACAGAGTCTGTAAATCAGACATGGTGTATGGGGATCCCCCCTCCCCACCCAAGGAAGCAAAGAATGAATTCTCCTGGGATCAAGGAAAACTATGAGAAGTTAAGAGTGTTCAATGCCTCTCCCCCAACCTGTCTCTTCTCTCCCAGTCTCTCTTCCCCAATACCCAATAAATACCCAATATCCTCTCTCTCTCTCTCTCTCTCTCTCTCTCTCTCTCTCTCTCTCTCTCTCTCTCTCTCCCTACATATTCCTTTTGTTCAAGGTATAAAGAGAAACCACAGCCCCTACCTTTGAGTACAAACCCCAAGACAGCTCGGTCTCTATCACCATAACAACAATTCCAAACATCCCAAAAATCAGAGCATAGTCACTGAGTCGCTTTCTCTTTTCAAACAGGGCCCTCCTGTGTCCCAGCTTATAGCCAATGTTTTGGTTTTTCCGCTTGTTGGCTTTGGGGAAGGTGGTGCTGCTGGCAGTGGTGCCGGCATGCTGGTGGTTGTGGGTAGCGTTGGGGTGATGGAGCAGGGTCTGGTGGGCATGGTTGTCCTCCCGGGAGGAGATGACAATCTCTGGGGGGTTGCTGGGGCTGAAGAGCTGGAGGGGTTGGCCCTCAGGCTCGGCCTCGATCAGGTTCCTCCGAGAGGCGCTGAGACGGCTGAGGGGCTTCATGACCCCACCGCTATACTTGCAAGAGCTCATGGCGATCTCTGTGAAGGGGTTGCTGTCCCGCCGGTGCACTAGGGGGCTGGCCTGCCGGTGCCGGCTGCCTCCACCAGGCCCACTTGTGGCTGTGGAACTTGGAGAATGGCCAAGCAAGTGGTCATTGAGATTGAGCTGGCTGCCTTGCCTGGAGGAAGGGTGGAGGATGGCGGTGGAGTTGACTGAAGGGGGACCCCTGAAAGCCGTGGGAGAGGAATGGAGCAGGCCAGGGTGGACAAGCTGGCTTTGGAGTTGGGTGAGCTGTGACAGGGGATGTGGTGGCTGCTGCTGCTGCTGCTGCTGCTGCTGTGGCGGCGGCTGCTGCTGAAGCTGTGGAAGCTGAGGCTGAAGCAGGGATCCTGGGTGTTGCTGAGGGGCTGCTGGAGGTGCAGGCGGCGGTGGTGGTGGTTGCTGTTGTTGTTGCTGCTGCTGCTGCTGCTGCTGTTGCTGCTGCTGCTGCTGCTGCTCATCCCCAGAGGATGGACAGGGACACTTTGGGTCTTCATCCAGGTCCCCCACCCCCGAGTCATGGAAGTGCCCAGAAGTGTCCATCTTGGGGCCTGGCTGGATTCCCTGCAGTACAACCCCCCACCCCAAAGCCACCCTCACTCCAAAGATGTCCTCAAAGAAAACCAGGCATCCAAGCTCCTCCACCAGTGTCTTGGCTCCAATCTTCTCCCTTTGGCTTGCTTCCGTTGTCTGGGACTGCCTGGAGTCCAAACGCTGCCACTCAAGAATGCATTGTATTGGGCTGGGAGGGAAGGCAGGAGGGGAGCTTGGAAGGAAGAAGGGGCGAAAAGAACTCAGTCTCCGAGGTGGTCCTCCAGGAGCGTGTGCGGCCAGGCTCAGCTTCACTCCTCGCTGGCTCAATAGCTTCGCTCTCCTCCTCCTGACACTGTTATATGTAAGCCACGCCCACTTATTAGCAGCTGGTCTCATTGGCTCGGCTTAACTCGCCAACCACCTCTTAGCTCCGCCCCCGCCCAGGCTCCACCCCGAAGGAGGGGCCTGCAAGCCTCCGCTCCCGGCCCCCTCCCCTCCCCGCGGGTGGCAGCGCAGCGAGGACTGGGAATTGTAGTTTTTGTTCCACGACCCCGAAGCTAATCGGCTCTGGCAGGTAGGGAAGGAAACCCTCCAGCCCAGGGCGATCAGGACAGTACAGTTACGCGGGGCGGTGGGGAGGAGGGACAGAAGTCCTGGGAAGGAGGAGAGCTGTCACCATGATGAGAGGACAGGGAGGGGAGAGAAATACTTAAGGCCATGGTCTGTGACAGGTTGTTTCACACATAGGATTCCAGGTACATCCATCCTCCCAGCATCCAAGGAGGTGGGCATTGTGTTCCCACTTTACCAAGGAGAAAACATGCCTGGGGATGTGACTGACAACGTCAAGGTCACAAAAGCAGAAGAGATCCGCCTACCGCTGACAAGTAAGTATACCACCTGCAGTGTGTGTGCAGGCGCCTCTCGGTTATTTACAACCCTCACATCAACCTTATGAAAGTGATGTCATCATTCTAAAAAAGACATAAAATGAAGGAAGAAAGAAAAGAAATTGAAAGCCCTCAAGCAACAGACAAGTTAAGAAACTTGCCAGCTGTCACCCAGCTTTGTAAAGATGCTAGGATTTGAACTTCAGTCACTTGGACTCAACAGCTCCTACACCATTTCCTCGGATGCTTTTCTCTATGATGCTCAGTGTAAAATGGATGTTCAATGAATAATGGATGGGAAAGAGCCAGAGGACCTGTTGAGAGAAAACCTACCAAGAAGATACCAGCTTCCCCAAAGCAGGCTCTTCCTAACAGCTGGGCATGGAGTCACTGGAGGATCCTGCAGGAAGACTGAAGCCCTCCCCCCTACCCCCACCTCCATCGTCCCCTCCCTGCCCCAGGGGACTGAGAGTCAGAGCGAGAGAACAGCTGCTGGCCTCCCAGGTTCAGAATCATCATCATCAAGTATTTATTAAGCTCCCACTGTGTGCAAGGGGGGGGTGCCAAAGAGAAGAGACTAGAGTTGAATTCATTTCCATTTTTAACTATAAAAGCCTTAGGGAACAGAGGGGAAGCCACTGTTCTGGAATCCCCCAAGGTGCACCTGGTGTTTTAGGAGAGAAGCATCTTCCTATGGACTTCCTGATTCCCTACCACTCCTTGGCCTCTATCCAACTCCTTCCCCAGATGCGAAGAGGGAAGGCAGGAAATCACACATGAGCAGGAACACAAATACAGCTATATACACACCCACATAGGCACACATGCACATAGGTGTGAGCACATGCTGGCCCATGCACACATAGGCATATACACTGTGAGCTTCAAAAGCAGCTCTCCAAAAGGTCAACAGCAAGTGGCCTGGGGCGGGGGGGGGGGAGAGAATGGCAAAACAGCCACCGTGTGAAGCCAGAGTAGCCTCTGTATATCTCTCCTTACCTCTCCAACTCTTCCTCCCCCCATGACTAAAAGCTAAATATTGCTTGTAATGTAAGTCACAACTCCCAAAACTTAAGTAATCATATTCTTACATAATATTCATAGGATTACCAACAATGAAGTAGGTATACACACACACACACAAACACAATCACAGTGGCAGGCTCTGATGCCAGCCTAGAGTCTCTTTGTAAATGACCATACAAGCCTTCCAGTACTTTCCTCCCCTCCCTCTGGCAGGACCTGCCTGCTCTCCCGTTCTGGTCTGTCTTCTTGATTTGCCCTCATCCCCACCCTTTAACAGAGCTACCTGCTCCATTTAAAGCTCTAGAACATACATTTAGGTTTAAATATTTTCTAATAAATTACCATTAATATGTTGTTGGTAGCAGGGATGTGCTGTTGGTATTGGGTTTTGGTACAGATACAACTTCTGGGCTGTAAAAATATCAATTTGAGCACACAGATCCCAACTACGGCACCTCTGTGCCCACTCTACTTCTGTGGGCTGCTTCTGCCTTGGTGAACTTTCTGGCCTCCTGACTCCACTTCTTTTGACTATGCCAACAGGATCCAAATAGGGCCTGAGACAGCATGTCTCATCATGGAAGAGGAAGAGCAACAGCCTGTGTGGGTTCCGAACTACTACTAAAGCTGAAGTCCAGAGGTTCATTTGGGAATGGGTCGAATTTGACAGCTGGTGCCACGGAGACAGCAACTTCCCCTGGTTACAGTGACCATTCCTGAAAGAAGTTGGAGAGCATCATGCTCAGAGATAGGACTCTAGAGTCAGTCTTCCCAGGCTATCCCCTTCTCTGCCAGAGGATAATTGTGTGGCCACAGGCAAGAGGACCTTTGGGATCTCAGTTTCCTATTCTATAAAGTATAATCATAAAGGTTCCTACCTTATGGGGTTAGAGAGAACCATGTATATTATGGTTTGTCACTATATGTGGTAGTCTTGACCCCTCAGTGGCGTACTGGGGCTGACCAATATTGGCTCTTCCCATATATACCCTGTTTTTCTTTTGTGCTACTACTGGGGCTTGAACTCAGGGCTTTGAACTCTCACTTGGCTAGGGCTCTACCACTTGAACCATGTCTCTAGTTCTTACTTTTTGCTGGTTAACTGGAGATAAAGAGTCTCTTGGATTTGACTGCCCTGGATTGCTTCAAATTGAGATCCTCAGTTCTCAGCCTCCTGAATAGCTAGGATTCCAGGCTCGTTGCTGACTTTTAAAGATAACTGTGCATCTCTCTCTGCAATGCCGCATTCAGCCATTTACATTGGTCACTTGAAATCCATCACGGTAGGAGTATTTACACCACAGAAATGGGCAAATGTGTAAGTCAGGGTTCCCTTCTTCCTGGCTATTAATATTAATTAGCACACAACTGCCTCCTGGTCCTGTCCTTATACCCAGACCACGCCCTTTATCCTTTGTCCTCCTTTCCGCCTGCCCTCCCCAGCCCATCTGGGGAAACTGCTCACTGTGTCAGCTTCTTGGGGCACCTGTTTCTTTAGCTCCAACAGTGAAGCACACAGAACATGTCAGGAACTGTGCAAACACAGGGCCAGATCATGGCAGCCTTCCATCCCCACCACTCCTGCCTTGCACTCCAGTGTCTTCCTACTGCTGCTGCACATCCAAATAAATCCCTACCATAGGGAAGCACTCCTACCTCCCCTGTTCCCAGCCACACGACGTCTTACAACCTATGAGTTGGGACCACTGTTCATTTACAGATGAGAACATGGAGTCGTTAGATTTACTGTCTTGCTCACAGTGACTAACTAGTAACTGAAAGAAGAGCTGGGATCACCTCAGAGGTAATTTCCAACTCCACAGCTCAGTCCTGTGTCCTAAATTCAAGGGTTCAATCTTAGTGGTACTTACTAAACATGTGGTAACCATTAACCTTTACCAAATAAACATTACCATTACTATTACCAAGGCTCAAAAGCTTCTGATCTCACTGAAGAGACAAGCTATATTCATCTGGGGTGACAGAGTACAAACTGGGGCCGAGGCTCTAGCATTTACTAAGAGCAAAGGATCACCAAGGGAGGCTTCAATGAAGTGGCAGGACTTGAGCCACACCTCAAAAGTTGGACAGCTATTCCTCTCATGCAAGTTTCCCTAAAATGAAGAGCTGACACGTTAGGCCTCTCCAAGGCACAAACCGGGAGGCCAACTTTGTGTGGTAGGGTTTCTAAACTCAATACAGGGAGTTAGCAAGGACGTAGGCACTCACCCCCAGAAGGCAGGAGTGGTCTTGGTCCACTAAACCAGCTGCAGCACAAACATGCTATCACTCATCCCTGCTTCATTCCTCATGGTGCCCTTTTTAGGCCCCACCACCAACCTTTTGCAGTATTCCACTAAGCCAACCTATTCCACACCTCCATGCCTTTGCTAACTCTGTTCCTTCTGCCTGGCATGACCTTCCCCTAAATCTTCCTCTAACACATTTTTTCTTCATCCTTCAAGAGCTGGCAGAGCCACGCACTCCTGGCTCATATTTGTCAGCCTAGCTACTCAGGAGGCTGAGATATGAGGCTTGAGGTTCAAAGGCAGCGCAAAAAGGAAAGTCCATGAGACTCTTATCTCCAGTTAACTACCTAAAAGGTGGAAGTGAAGCTGTTGACTCAAGTGGTAGCATGCTAGCCTGAGTGAAAAAAGCTAAGAGACAGCCCCCAAGGTCCTGAGTTCATGCTCCAGGGTCATAGCTAAAAAGTCATAATAAAAGGACATAGCTAAAAACTCATCTTTCTGGGATACTTCCCTGAGCTCCTCAAATCCAAACCAGGGCCTGACTCCTATTTTTGTTTTGTTATTGTTGGGCAGGGGGCGGTCCCTGTGCTATCAATTCTCTAAGGGATCAATACCACTCATCACTTTGTGTGTCATTTACTTCAGACTGCAATCTCCTTAAGCAAAGGAGAGACCTCTCTCCTGAACCTGCAGCATTCCCCACACTGGTGCTTGCTAGAGATTGCCTGAACTTGAAACTGGGGGCAAGAGGAAGTCACAAGACTTTTCACAACAAATAGCAAGCACAATTTCCTTGATAGTAAAATAGGTGAGATAAAAAGTGATGATTTCTGCTAGGAACTGG